AAAAAACTTCATGAATGTTGCCCACATCCATTTTAATAAATTTTTAAAAACTATTTTATTATTTAAATAATAATACATAAATTAAATTAATAATAATTATTTTATTAAATAAAATAAAATTAATTTATAATTAATTAAATAATAATTTTACAAAAATTAAATAATATTTATATATTAATTTAAAATATAATATAATAAAAAACTAAAAACTTTAAAAAGAAAAAAATTTTAAGGATGTGGTAACATCCGTATCCATTTTAATAAAATTTTAAAAGTATTTTAATTATTATTTAAAATAATAATATATAAATTAAATTATAATAATTATTTTATTAAATAAAATAAAATAAATTTATAAATAGTTAAGTAATAATTTTAAAAAAAATTAAATAATATTTATATATTAAATTAAAAACTTAAAAAAACTAAAAACTTAAAAAAAAAAACTAAACGGATGTGCGGATGTCCCACATCCGTTGAAGAATTTTTTCTTCAACGGATGTCGACATCCGTTCAAGAGAAAAGGAGGGGTGTAGAATATTTTAAGATATAAAAGATAATTTTGGAATTTAGAAAAAGTGTGGTGGTACAAGGAGCAATGTGTGGTGGTGTAGGGAGTAACACCCTTAATTCTGTAGTGTAAAGTTGAGTTTATGAAACTAAAAGTAAACTTTGTAATGACAGCTGTCAACAATAAGCAATAAATATTATGGGCTTGTATATTTTTGGGCTGAGCCCAAAGAAAATAGAAGATGAAATGTTGCGGCGTGAGAGTTGAGTGGGGGTACAGGGGGCAAAATAGGAAGCAGAAAAAAGAGTAGAGCAGGGATGATCTAGGAACCCTGGTTTTATTTGTCACTTCACACAAACCCACTCTCACTTACTCCCTTCTCTGTCGTGGCCACCTTCTGTTATCTTTTTCTCGACTCCGCGGCGTAGATCCGAGGAGTTCGGGAAACCCTAACTCTACTCTCTCCACAACCCACACAGTTCCTTTTCTCTCTTTATCATCTCCACACTAAGGTCTCTCTCATCCTTTCTCCCTGTTTCTCTGTCACAACACAATATTTTTGCTGTTTATTTATCTGTGTTTTGCTTTTGTTTGATTATTAATTATTATTAATTATCTGGGTCATGCTCGTTGGTATTCAAAAGTTTTATCTTTGATTCTGTGGTTTCGGAATTAGGAGGCCCAATTTTATTCTCTCTGGGGATTCTACTGAACCATCTGCCCTTTTTATGGGTTCCGAGTTTGTTAATAAATTTTGTGGCCATAACAATTTTTCTTTTTCTTTTTTTGTTTTTGCAGTCATGGCTGGACTTGCGCCTGAGGGGTCACAGTTCGATGCGAACAAATTTGATTCCAAAATGAATGACTTGTACGATTTTTATTTTCCTTTATTCGGCTGCAATCCGGTTTTCTTGATGATTTTAATTGCTGTTTTTGTTCTTGTTTTGTGTTAGATTCGATTGTCGTAAGATTTTAATGTTCTTGTTGTTTTTTTTTCTTTCAGGCTAACTTCTGATGGACAGGATTTCTTCACATCCTATGATGAGGTTTATGAGAGTTTTGATGCTATGGGACTGCAGGAGAATCTTCTGAGAGGCATTTACGCATATGGTAATTTAATATATTTTCTGTTTTATCCTTTCCCATTCCTACTTTCAACCCTAAAAGAAATGTTCTTCCTAGTGATTGTCATTGGTTTGTCTTTGTTTTATTTAATGAAGAAGCCACTAATTTTGTCCGTGAACTATATTGCATTCTCTCTCCGTAGTCCCTAAAGTAATAAAATTATTTAAGTAATCCTTGAAATATTGGTATCTACCTGTTTAGTCCCTAAGCTGATGCATGTCTACAAAGTTCAGTGACTAGTTTAAAGGATTTTTTTATATTTAAGGGACTACTTTATACTTGTCAGTATTTTAAGGATCAAAGGTAGCTAGGTCAATTGTTCAAAACATATGGTATCACCATAACATTAGACATTGGGTCTGTCTTACACAGTTGTATTATTTTATTAAACCATTATTTTTTGGTTGACCTGCTATTGTTTAGTAGTATCTTGCAATCCTTAATCAAGTATGATTTGTGTTTTAGGTTTCGAAAAGCCATCAGCCATTCAGCAAAGGGGGATAGTTCCCTTCTGCAAGGGACTTGATGTTATTCAACAGGCTCAGTCTGGAACTGGGAAGACAGCCACTTTCTGCTCCGGTATTCTGGAGCAACTTGACTATAGCTTGACGCAATGCCAGGCCTTGGTTTTAGCACCAACTCGTGAGCTTGCTCAGCAGATTGAAAAGGTTATGCGGGCTCTTGGAGATTATCTTGGTGTTAAGGTTCATGCTTGTGTGGGAGGTACCAGTGTCCGTGAAGATCAACGCATATTATCTAGCGGTGTTCATGTCGTGGTTGGTACCCCTGGTCGTGTGTTTGATATGCTTCGTAGGCAATCACTCCAACCAGATCACATCAAGATGTTTGTATTGGATGAGGCTGATGAGATGCTTTCCCGAGGTTTTAAGGATCAGGTGCTTTCAATTCTCTACTCATGATGTGCCTTTTTTCTCTATGCTGATATTTTATGTTGTTTTTTTGAATAGTACTCCTGCACTTGTTTATGTATTGTTATACATAGATGTGTAAACCCTCCTATGTCAATTATGTTATACTTTATATCATTAAAATATTTATACTTCCAACTCTGTTTCTAGGTATGTTTCTTTCGTCTGAACTTTCTCATGTAGTAGTAACTTCTGATGGAATTTGAACTCAAATGCCTTTCAGTTGACTCTTAGAGCCTAGTATATGTGTTATATGTAGTAATAAAAGAATTTATTTGTGTAAATGTTCTAACCTTTTGCTTTATTATTATCAGATATATGATATATTCCAGCTGCTGCCATCTAAGATTCAAGTGGGTGTTTTCTCAGCCACAATGCCTCCTGAGGCCCTTGAGATCACGAGGAAGTTCATGAACAAACCTGTGAGGATCCTTGTGAAACGGGATGAGCTCACCTTGGAGGGTATAAAGCAGTTTTATGTCAATGTTGAGAAAGAGGAATGGAAGCTGGACACCCTCTGTGATCTTTATGAGACGTTAGCAATCACCCAGAGTGTCATTTTTGTGAACACCAGAAGGAAAGTTGATTGGTTGACTGACAAAATGAGAAGCCGTGACCACACTGTTTCAGCAACCCATGGAGACATGGACCAGAATACCAGGGACATTATTATGCGTGAATTCCGATCTGGTTCTTCCCGTGTCTTGATTACTACTGATCTTTTGGCCCGTGGTATCGATGTCCAACAAGTGTCACTAGTTATAAATTATGATCTCCCTACACAGCCTGAGAACTATCTGCATCGTATTGGTCGTAGTGGAAGGTTTGGCAGGAAGGGTGTGGCTATCAACTTTGTCACAAAGGATGACGATAAAATGCTGTTTGACATCCAGAAGTTTTATAACGTGGTTGTTGAGGAGCTGCCTTCAAATGTTGCTGAGCTCCTTTAATCAGATTTTGTCCTCCATGGTATTTAGATGAAATTAGTTTGCGTTTGGAAAAATGTTATGTAATGTTTCTCTACCCCCTCCCCTCCCAACTCCTTTCGTGGCACTTCTTCTCTGAAACTTTGTTTAATAGGCTTAGTTTTTAATTTATGACTTGCTTTGTGGAAACCCATTATTGGCCCAATTGGTGTATTGGATGTTTTTGCACATTTTTCTAGGCAACTTTTCTGTCTTTTAGTTTTTACTAAATTTTAGAATTGCTTGATGATATTTTCTTTTCAGATTATGTTTTGATCTTACATTGTGAACGAAATGGGTGAAATGGAATTGAAAAGTTAATTACTGTGCTGTATTTTTCACTGTAAAGGGTTTATTATTATAACCTTTCGTTGAGGGAGGTAGGGGAGATAAATGGGGAGAAAAAAATGGTTTCAGAAGAGAAGTGGGGGAATTTGACATTGCTTGGAAGTGACGGAAATAAACAAAATAATGAAAAAATGGAATGAGTTTCTTTGTGACCCTCGTTCCCTTTTCAGGTTGCTAAAATGTTGTTATTATCAAGTGATTAAATGATATGTATCTTCTTTATATATA